GTGCCTACTAAGCATGCACTCTACCACTGAGTTATACCCACACCCCCTTAATTACTTTCTTTTTGACAAGCTCAATTTCCCCTTAGTATTTGTAAGCCAAAAAAACTCTTTAATTCTTAGGTTTTCTATTCGTATAGTCACATGTATGTTCATAGGGCATTACATTCCCTCATCGTGACTCTAGTTTATAGTCTATTCATATATGTGGCATTATTTCAGTTACCTCAGTACATAAGTGAATAAAGTTATATGAATTCATATAGAGCATATGACATTATTTCAATAATCTGGACTCACCTATAAATTGGCTATTCTAAAATAAAGTCCAGGCCTCGAGCCATGCCCTGCCATGGAAACAGCCGGAGATTTTTTACATCACAAACCTGCTGTTGGACTAAGCATTCTAGAAGCTAGTTTTCACCAGCTGGTGACAACATTCTTAAAAGGTCTGCTACCGGAAATAGTGACTCTTTTACCAAACTAAGGTAAGTAGTCTTCAGTTCAGTGGTGTATTTGCAGAGCGTACTACTTGTTATATATTTTTATATATGATATGATGTGTATATATATCATATATATAAATTTAAATCAACTCAATGTATCAGATACAGTTACAGGATCTCGTTACCCTTTTGCATTGTTCTTAGTCCCAGTCCTGCACTCAAGTTGGTTTCTTTTGACCAGGTGGGCTTCATAGACTACATCGTCCATCCTCTCTGGGAGACGTGGGCAGACCTCGTCCATCCTGACGCCCAGGACATTTTGGACACTTTGGAGGACAATCGTGAGTGGTACCAGAGCACAATTCCTCAGAGCCCCTCCCCAGCACCTGAGGACCAGGAGGAGGGCCGGCAGGGTCAAACCGAGAAGTTCCAGTTTGAGCTGACTTTAGAGGAAGATGGCGAGTCGGACACGGAAAAGGACAGCGGAAGTCAAGTGGAGGAGGACACTAGCTGCAGTGACTCCAAGACTCTCTGTACTCAAGACTCAGAGTCCACCGAGATCCCCCTGGACGAGCAGGTGGAAGAGGAGGCGGTGGTGGAGGAGGAGAACCAGCCCGAAGCCCACGTCATAGAAGATCACTCCCCCGACACGTAACAGAGCAAAGACCTCCACGCCTTTTGTTTTTCGTTTTTCGGGTTCTTTTTCAAGTAGAGAAGTTTGTTTCCAAAGTGCATGTCACTTGCCACAACCATGGTCACACCTCACTGTCATCCGCCAGGACGTTTGTGGAACAAAACCGACCTTGACGACTCAGTCTGGCGCTCAGGAATATCGTCACCCGTTTTTTCACCTCCGTGTCATCTGAGCAAGGGGGACATCTTCGCGAACAGCATTGGCCCCTGGTGGCCGCGTGGGAAAGCTAACCAAGCAGAGAAAATCAACTCCAAAGCGTTTTCTAGGGAGTGGGGCTCACCACGCAGTCCCGAAGTTGACGTGATTTGGAGTTTCTTTTCTTTTCCTTTGTTTGCAATATTTTCAGCAGAAAGAAGGCATCACATGAGCAGAGTGAACTAATGGGTGAAGCAACAGGTGGGTCAGGAACAGGACACCATGTGAATCTGTTACCAGGAAGAAGATGAGCCACAGAAATTGCATCATTTTCTAATTTCAAGTCTTCCTGATACGTGACTGAATAAGTGCGGTTCACGCGAGCTGCACTGACCTCTACGTGTTGTATGATAATGTAAAACAGATTTTTTGTAGAGCTTACTTTTATTATTAAATGTACTGAGGTATTATATTTAAAAAAAAAAACTGTTCAGAACTCCATCTGCCACTGGTTAATTTTTTTTCTAAGGAGTAACTTGCAAGTTTTCAGTACAAATCTGTGCTACACTGGATAAATCTAATTTACGAATTTTCTTGCACCTTAGAGTTCCTAGCAAGTAACTGATTTGTAGTGATCCATTGTTTTATATACCAGTGACTTCCATATTTTAAAAACAAAAATCCACATTATGTTGCAGGAAACCCTTTTTGTAAGGTCTTCATTTACCAGCTTTTGTTTCACTCTTTTCAGAGACACAGAGTTGCTCCACATTTCTCTTCACGGTGTGCAAAGTGAATCCTTGTTCAGTAGTCTTTGATGTGCGTTCTGTCTCACGTGTCTCCAGCCTCATGGACACTCCATCATCAGTTGGTGTTGTCTGAAGCAAGTGAGAGATACATAAATACCCAGTAGCTAAAATGGTCCGTCTTTTTTAGATACTTTCCCACTTAGTGTCTTCTGATAACTTTCTGCTGTGTCGATAGATATGCCTCGTTTCACAAGTGCATGTCCTTGTAACAACCCACCCATTTCATGTGCATTTTTATTGTTTTCACGGTCAGTTATAGCAAGAAAAACTTCTCCCCCTTGTGCTGCTTCATTATTTAGCGTGTGTTTGAACCTCTGTCCACATTTACTAGCTGGGGTCTTATCAAATATATCACCACCATTTGTACTGATGCCAAGAAACAGGCAGTCAGCTTAGACTTAGCGTTCTTTTCTGCCACGAGGTCATATGTAATGATGAGCTTTTACTCTTGATTTGCAAAGAAAAGTTAACAGCTAGCTAGACAATTTAACAATATTAGCAGAATATATTAACGAACACCAGTACCACGAATGTGCTTTTGTTTCTGTGATTTCACCATGAGATTAAGAACTGTATGAGGAATAGTCTTGAGAAGTGATTTTAAGTGTAGCAATGACTCTTCCTTGACGGACAGCCATGTAACATGTAGGACTTGCTTTATTGGTCTTGTGGAGGAAGACTTCTTTACACAGAAGGAAGTTGGTGATACCTCTGGGACTGAAGGTTTGGCAGTAAAATGCCATTTTAAAATACTGGGTTGGGTAAGAAGGCTAGATCAGAATTTAGAGCTCACCTTTGGCTGAATTTAGCATCAAGAACTGTGTTACAATTTGAGACCGAGTCCCAGTATCTACCTTCAGTTGGCATCGTGGGGCGTTTGTTTAGTTTGGAGTTTCCTTCCATTTCAGCTCTTAATAAAGTGTTTACCTTCTCTGAAGAGTTTGGAGCCCACATAATCATTTTTTCACAGTAATGTCCAAGAACTCAAGTAGAGGCTAAAGGAGTATCTGACCAAATGGAAAATAAATAAAACAATAAAGGAAATTGTAACCCTGAAAAGCATTTATATTGGGGATGTGTCAAGGAGCTTCTGGGGATTAATAAGTCATCAGCCGGAAAAGTGCCCCAGGCTGAAGATACTACTTTAATCCCCTGAGATCCACTGATGTTTAGAAACTTTGATAGAAAAATGACATAGCTCTGATCTTTCACATAGAACACAGGTTCGGAATTGACCAATTAATTACCAGATTTCCACCCTCCTCTCCTTGTAAAAATCAGACTGTAGTCTTTCAAATACAGTCCCATGTTTGGCAAGTGCTTTGACAAGAACGCTGCAAAACTTGTTTCTGTTTTAATTTTACTTGTCCCTGATGGAGGTCTAGAAGAAAAGGCAAAGAATCTAGGGTTCATTCCTTTTTTCAAAATATTCTCATTCCCTCCCCTTCCTAATGCTTGGGATCCTCACCACCACTAAATGAGCCTAGAATCTTAATAATGGAAAAAAAAATGAGAATGGCAATATGTCACAAACAAATCCAGACCTGAAAAGGTTCATAACTACACTATAAAAGAGAGGCTTTTAGAAAAAATGTGTTGATTTTAAATGGTCACATATTGTGAAGATACCCACCAATGGACAATCACCTTATAGAAAAGGATAAGATCTGAAAGACAGGGACAACACACTGTACAATCTGCTTCTCCCTTCTTTCTCTCTCCCTCCTGCCTCGCCAAAGTGTGCTTCGGAATTATGTACTGCTTTAAAAAGAACATCCTTTTACAAGTGGCTTTACATTTCCTAAAATGCCATAAGAAAATGCAATATCTGGGTACTGTATGGGGAAAAAATTGTCCAAGTTTGCATAAAACCAGTACATTTCAGCTTGCAAGTTACTAAACACAGAATGCTGTTTGAATTTTCTTTTCTTTTGCGTCACTTAAAGTTCACAAGAAAATAATGTAGATAGAACAAATTGCAGACAAGGAAAAAAAACTTGAATGAAGTGGATATTACAGAAAGCTTTATGATAATTTTTGAATGCATTATTTATTTTTTGTGCCATGCATTTTTTCTCACCAAATGACCTTACCTGTAATACAGTCTTGTCTGTCTGTTTACAACCATGTATTTATTGTAATGTACATACTGTAATGTTAATTGTAAATTATCAGTTCTTATTAAAACATCATCCCACGATGGGATGGTGTTGATATATTTGGAAACTCTTGGTGAGAGAATGAACGGTGTGTATACATACTTCTTGTACATTTTCTTTTCTCCTATAATAGAGTCTTGTCACCTTAGAGCTTGTTTATGGAAGATTCCAGAAAACTATAAAATACATAAAGATATATAAATTAAAAAAAAAACATAGCTGCAGGTCTTTGGTCCCAGGGCTGTGCCTTAACTTTAACCAATATTTTCTTCTGTTTTGCTGCATTTAATAAGTAAGGTAACGATGGGGCTAGGGCTGGGCATTTTACGTCCAAGCTTTGAATCCATTGGCTTTCTGTCAGTAGCTGGATTTTACAGAACCACAGACAACCCTCTGGAACATTCTGAGATGCTTCTGAGATACAAGGCCTGAAGGACTCTTTGCCATGAAGCAACGTGGTGAGTGTGATGGTGGTTTTCCCGTCAGATACTGAGTGGCTTCAGTTACTTATATTTGATTGCTTTTTATTTGCAGACACTACTGGCAAAATAATATTGTTGTCCTGTGATTATAAAAAATATTTAAACTTCTAGAGCACGTGGGCAAATGAACTTGATTTGAAAGTAGAGCCAGAGGTCACATGTATTAGTAGTTTATTCCTTGGCTTCCTGCCATGGTAAGAAAGTATATAATATGAAAAAGGTCATTTTTTTAACCCTGGAATTTTTCTTCAACTGAGAGCAACCAAATTTGCTTATATACGTGAATCCTTACGTTTAAACACAAAGTTTTATATGACGCCAATTCACAGAGCATAACGGATTCACCATTCGCTAGATTGTAGATTCTGCAAAATCTACATTGCTCTAGAATTTTAACATTTAGCCTTGCATACTGGCCAGCTTCTGAAACCTATGAAAAATTCCCAGTGGGTCATGCAGAAACTTCCTTCCACTGCTGCCCAGCCCTCAGAACATGTGACTTTGTGAAAGGAGAAATACTTTTTTCTAAGAAAAAAAAAAATGAGCCTCCTTTTATTTTACTTTATTTTTTTGACACAAACTGTAGATTTTAGCAGCCCTGGCCCAAAGGAATTTGATTACTTTTGTTTTAAACAGTACAAAGGGGACACTATAATTACAAAAAAAAAATCCTTACTGATTTTAGTTATTTTTAATTTTATTTCTTTGGATATGTTTTCAGAGGGGTAAGTTGTGTGTGAGCATTAAAAACGATGATTCTTTTAGTGTTTTCTTAGCCTCTCCTACAGCCCATGGGAATAGTACTGTACATCGATACCTTCATATGAAGTTTTTATATGCGATGAAAATAAAAGCATGGGTTGATTCTGCCTATTTATGACTCGATCTTTTACAAATAGAAGATTATTCATTTTAATTTGTAGTTCAGACAGCATGGGTTTCCAAGGGCCGTGAAGATTTTTAAGGTGAATAAAAGAAGGAGAGTGACATGATACATGACTGTTGACATTTATCGTCAAGTGAAACCAAATTATGCAGATTAATCTTCTGTAGAAAAAAAGAATGCCAAAATTATTTAGATGGCCTGTAAGATTAAGCAAAGTGTCCTGTAAACAGGCTTGGGAAGGGAACTTGTCTGACTGAGTTTGCTGGCATACTGAGTTACTCAGGTACTTCGTTATGTACTGAGTCCCTACTCTGCAAACTACAAGGTTGTAAGGATTCAGCAGTGAGGAACTGATTTGGGGCTGAGCTCTGAAGGATAGTAAGAGGTAACCTGGCAAAAAGGAACAGTTAACAGGAGAGGAAGGGGTTCCAGACAGAGAACACTTCATTTGCCAAAGTCCTGAGGTACAAGCAAGTTCCAAGCCTCTGGAGAAATGGAAGGAAAGCACCCAGCTCTGTCACTCTTACCCCCTACCCTGCTTTATTTCCTTTATAACAGTAATTACTAACTAAAAACTCTTATTTGCCTCTTCCTCACAAATTCTCCTTTTTTTCTCTGAATGACAAAAAAAATCAGTGTTCACGATGAGGAGAGTAAAGAAATCAGCAAAAATTTAATCCCCAAATCTTAACTAGTAGAATAAGGATAATTAAATAAATGATCTCTGCTTAACCTCCTCCTATTCCCTCCCACCACCACAAAGAATGACAGCAACTATAGCCAGAAGATGCCCGAAATGTCCCTTCCAGGGATACGTGATCTAAACCCAAGTTCCCTTCCTCAGTCTGTGACCCCAAAGTGAGACTATGGGACAAAGGAACAAGCTGCCGCCTTTGCCCTACTTGTTCCCCATGCTGATTTAGGCCAAACTGGGTGTGCTGAGTCCACCTGAGTTTAGGTCTTTGCCCTGGAAACACGTCCTCAGGCACACAGCTTTGAACCCACAACAGAAAAACATCCCATCTTCCCTTTGGCCAGAGAGCACCGCCCCCAGCAGGGACGTACTTACCCACAGAGCCTCCTCTTAATGAAATCCTACCTGTGCTTTCCCTACTACAGGCTTGGGAATTTCCATCTCTGTCTTTATTAACACATCCCCGTCTCCCTCCCAACAGAAAATTTCCTTATCTCCTGCCGAGCATAAGCACCCCTCCTCTGTGTTGTCCAAGCTGCAGTGGTTCTTTGCAGTTCCTGGACTCTGCTTCCTGGTCCTGCATCTAGTAGACGCTGAGACTAGGAACCCCAGTTTGGGGCGCCTGCGTCTTTAAGCCCACCCACCACAGGTGCAAAGGTTACCACCCTCCCGAGATCCAAAGCCACTCCCAAAGGTAGCCCACAGAAAGACAGACTTATTTCCTCTGAGAGCTGGTAACAGTCAGCAGGGCCCTGACCGCAGAGGAAGTGCAACCCATCTTCCTGTCCGGCCATATTTAAGCTGCAAGCGGAGTGCGTCCCACATTTCGGTCCGGCCAGGCCTCGGAGCCCCAGCCTGACCGCTGAGCTGCCTGCACACGCAGGAGCTGGCAAGCCGCAGGCCCCGGCAGGCGGAAAGCCGCGTCCAGTTGCCGGGACGCAGAATGAGACAAACAAGAAGGCAGTAGCTGTTCCTGGGAGACAAAGGTCGACAACCAGGATTTGGAAAGGAAGGGAAAACTCAAAATTTTACCATTCGCAGCGCGGCACTACAGAGACTGGAGAGAGCTGACTCTGGTAAGAATTCTCAGCTTTTCTTGGCTTCTGTCGGTTTTCCGAGGATCCCAAATGCGGGCTCCAGACTGAGTGGGGTTTTAAGTACAGAATGTAGCCCTGTCGCTACCAGAATTTGATAAGGTTTTTCAGTTTTTAATTTCAGCTCCCCCTGGGCTGTTAAAGGGAATAACTGATAATAATTTACCGGAGGGGCCCTGGGAGTCCAGTCAACCCTGGGAGAGGCCTCTTCAGGGGTAGCTATGGGGGCGTTGGAGTTGGTGTGGAAGGACTTGGCAAAACCTTTCCCCCAGTGTCCTGATGAATGCGGGTGAGACCATTCCTGGGCAGGTGTTTTGAAGATGAGCCCCTAGGAGGGTGTAGTGCGGGAGGCCCAGGTGTTGCAGGTTTCTGACTTTGGAGCTGTTGCAGCTGAAGGTAGCTAACGTAGCGGGCTTTCATTTGCGGTTCTCGTGTCTCTTGTTCTCGTGGAAAGGCAATTCAGTAGAGGCTTAGTGCTCAGGTAACAGGATAGAAGGAGGTCGTAGAAGTCACGTCGCTATTTTAGTCTTTGGGTTTAGGCACCTCTTTGGTTTTTAATTTTTCATTACCTCTTACAATAAATCTTTCAATGAAGCCTTTTTGGCATCTTGAAGCTTTTGGAGGCTTCTGTGTGCTAGTAGGTCTCCCATCCTGTTTGTTGATTTGGGAACACTTGCTTTCAGGTGCACTTTTTAAAAGAATGATCTTGTCTAACTGGAAAGTTTCCCATGACGGCCTCGTAATTCTAGGTTGTCTCAGTAATATTTTGTCATTTTTCTAGTTATCTCAAGCTGCCAGGACAGTTCTTAGACAGAAAATAAGCAGGTGTGCTGGGAGGAGGCGTGCTCAATTCTTTGAAACTTGAGAATCCCATGACTTTAGCTAAACCTTGGGTCTCTCAGAGACAAATTAATACCTAAGTGGGATATGCCACTGGGTTGGGGCTTTTGTGGCGGTTTACAGTGTACCTTGTCGCCGGAAACTATTAAAAAACGATGAAAGAAGACAATTTAGCTGGTACAAACTTTAATACTTCATGGAGTGAACAGTCTCCTTTTGGAGAACTACCAAATGGAGCAGAAAGCAAGAAGCTTTTATGGGATAAAGAGTAAAGAACAAGGAAGAGACAGAAAATACCTGCCTGGCTGCAGCTCCGTAATCAACTTGGTTTGGGGTGAGAAGCCAGAGGTGGCTTGGTGTTTGGGGGTCGGCCGACTGGCGGTACTGCGTCTCTGGTCAAGCAAGGCATTTGAGTTTTTTAAGTATTAGTTTGTTGTCGCCGTGGCATCTCAGGCTGGAGCCACTCCATTGTGGGCCTAGAAATGTATTTCAGCAGTACTTTGTACATGTCCTAGGTGAGATATTTACAAACCCCTCACCAGACTGTGAGATTTTTGAAGGCGATATACTCCTGTTGGCCTGGCTAGTTAATATTTAAGTCCAGCTATTGATGTTCACCTAGTCTTTCCCCTCTAACACCAGCACTCCTCAAAATGTGGTTCTTGAACTGACATCAGCGTCAACTAGGTTCTTGTTAGAAACACAAATTATCAGGCTCCAACTCAGGTCTCTGAAATGAGAATCTCTAGGGGTGGGTCCCAGAATCTGCTTTTAATGAGTTGTCCTGTTATCCTCATGCGCCATAAAGTCTGGGAAACGCTGTTCAAGACCTCATGAGTTTATCCCTCTTCTGGTTTTGCAAAAAAGCAAAAGTAATCGTCTCAACCCCCTTTGTAATTCGTTGCATTTACTCAAAGGGCTGCTTGTTACTACAGGAGTGTTAACAGGTGATGTGGGGAGGGCTATAATTGGAGGAACAATAGAAACACATGTTTGACCAGCCAAGTTCCACTGAGCAGGAAAGGAATGGGGGAGCCGACTGTTGGCTCTCCTCAGCGGCAGAGGAAACTTCGCTTTGTCAGTTCCCCATCATGGCATTTGTTGACATCATATGGATTCTGGACCCAATTTCAATGTGAGGGTGGGGACGAGTTATTCATGCCAACAAGCAGTTCTCTGACACCAGCTAGAGGTCCTACACTTCAACTGAATTCTGACACTGTCCACCTGAAGAGAGCATCAGAGTCCACAGGTTTAGGGCTACCAGACTCAGGACTATGACACCCTCCCCACCCCCACCCCCCCCATCTCCTCCACTTCAGGCAAACTGAGGTTGTTTTTCTGCACTTCTGACCTACTGCCTATAGACTAGGGGTTTCAGTGATGCCCTTGTCTTGGGTTCTATTAATTTGCAAGGGTGGAGTACAGACCTCAGAGAAATATTTTATTTACTAGTATGCCAGTTTATTATAAACAGATATAACTCAGGAACAGACAGATGGAAGAGACACACAGGGCAAGGTATGAGGAATGGGCAGAAGCTTCCATGCCCTCTCCAAACACACCACTCTCCCCAAATCTACAGTGTTTATCAAGGTGGAATCTCTTCAAACCCCATCCATTTGGTTTTTTTATGAAGATTTCATGACATAGGTATGATTGATTAAATCATTGGCCAGCCAAGAATGAGTCCACCTCCAGCCCCTCTCCCTGGAGGTCAGTGGGTGGGACTGAAATTTCCAACCCTCTAGTCACAAGGTTGGTCGCCCTGACAACCAGCCCCCATCCTTAGGTGTTTTCCAAGTCACCATTAAGGTAATAAAAGACACTTTTCTCACTCTCAGCACTTAGCAAACTCTCAGGGTGCTAGAAGCTTTATACCAGAAACTGGGAAGATCAAAGATATGTTCTTAGAAGTTACACATATCACCAGTCGGCATGGACTAAAGGGTGGAAAGACTGACATGTCATTCAAAGGAGAGAAGAGACTAAAAGAAAATCCCATCCATATTCTCCCTTCAAGACCATCAGTGGAACGGACAGGGACTGAGCACCTTCACTCAGTCTTCAGTGGCCCCATCCCAGCTCTCCAGTCACACAGTGGCTGCCCCTCGGCTTTCATAATTGGGTGAAACCACACAACACAGTGCTCGGAATCTGGCATCACAAGTGGCCACCAAATGAGCCAAGTGACACATGCAGAAGTGCAGGGGGTTAACTTTGACCACTGGGAATCCAGAGATGGGAAGGAGCCGGGCGAGTTAATCTCTCCTCCTTCTCTCTCCACTGACTACTCTCCATGGGGACAGTCCCTGCATCCCCATCCAGGGAAAGCCCCTCCCCAGCTGCCTGCAGTGTCCCTTGGCTGCATCTTGCGAGGCAGTAGCCAGCGTGGAAACATCACAGCACACTGCTTCCTGTCCTTCCTGCTTCCCTTCCTTTCTTCCTTACTTCACTTGCCTCTTTTAGCCTCAACCCCTTTTTTCTCACCCCACTGCCCAAAAGTTTGCACCTCCCCCATAAACTCCCATCACTTTGCCTCTGCCTCCAGCTCCGTTTCCTGGAGACCCTGAGCTCCATGCCGTCCTTTACATTCAGGACAGCAGATGCCAAATTTGAGTGTGAGGGTGTGTGTGTACACATTGTGTTTAAAATAGGGCCTTGGCATATTCCAGACAGAGACTGTGCCTTATTCGTCTTTGTCTTCCTGCAGCTTAGTTCCGTGTCTGTCACAGGGCAGGTATTCATTAAACATGGGAAAGAGTGACAGATGGGTGAGTAATTGCCTGAATGAGGTTGATGATGAAGAATGGAAGGAGGGGGTGGGAACTGCCTTAGAATGGATTAGAGACTGGATAAGCAGCAACTGGGACAAGGGGCCAAAGGCAGCTGGAGGAGAATATGGAAGCAACCAAAGTAGAGGGTGAAGAGCGCATTCCTTCTAAGTAGAAACAAAATATATGGGGACAAGTAAGAGAGGTCTGCGGCGTCCTTCACCTTCTGGACTTGCACCCGTACGCACTGTAGAGGGACACTCCCGCCTGCCTACTCAGTGGTTACCTCCTAGCCCCTGGTGAATGGAGGTTGGAATTGTTTGGATCTTGTGAAGTCAGGGGTTTCTGGAGAGACAGGCCTCTCCTTAGTCCCAGAGGCTGACTCTGAGCCTTTGATGGAGTTCCTCTGCCCTGGCCTGTGATTAGGTTGGGACAGGCTTGCAGAGCTGCAGTTCTAGACAGTGAGATGCAGGTGACTCCTGGGAAAGCATCCCTCATGCTTGCAAAGGGAGAAAAGGAAGAGACTGGGCTTTGGAAAGTGTTCCTGAGGCGGCCATGGTTGGGCTGTTATCCTGAGACCATGAAAGGGACTGTCTGAAGACACGGGCCACATGCTAAGGATGGCAGAGCAGATGATGGAACCTGAGTCTTCAAAGATGGTTCGGAGCTGCTGACGTAATCATCTCAACTCCCGAGCCAATCATGCAAGACGATGGGCAGGTTTTATAATTTAGGCCATTTCAGTTGGACCCTCTGTTACTTAGGCCCAAAATCATGCTAACAACCACACCCACTGTCTGTTCCAACAACGTGCCAGGGCGTCTGGGCAAGGCAAGGCATGCCTGGCATATTTGAAAGTTTGGGGCTTTGACCCCAAATTAACTGAGTGACTGTAGGTGTGTTAATCCCTGTATCCTACTTTTTTCACCTTAAATATGAGAATTATGGTATCAGAATCTATTCTACATTCTTTACTGTGTTACGAGAGCACATGAATTAATAAATGTTACTCTCGCAGTAAACTTTAGGCAATATATTTTCAACAGCAGCTTGTGAGCCATTAATGGATTGTAAAATTAAAAGATGATTGCAGTGAGCACTAAAAATTAAAAGGAACTAAAATGGAGCGGGAAACACTGCTATGTACCGCACAGAGTAAGGGTGAGTTTAGTCTTCTGAAATGACGTGTGCGCCCTTACAGGCATGTTTGTGTGCATGGCTAGCCTGGTAAAAGATGCCTTCTGCTTTAGGTCACGCACAAAAGGTTTATGAAGCATGGATTAGAAAACACTCAACACCTGAGATGGCTAGAAGACCCTGGGTCTCTCACCTACTCCCACCCCTGTCTAAGGAGCCAAATTTGGGCCC